GAAAGAAAGAAAGAAAGAAAGAAAGAAAGAAAGAAAGAAAGAAAGAAGTATAATTGCAAATACCTTTCAGGGTGACTCTTCCAATGCTTTCGATATCCTTGGCTACAAATTTCACCTCTGCCTCCTTGAAAGCACTGGTGACCCGCTTAATGATTAAACTGTGGCTTGCTTTGGTTCTCGTAATTATGTATTTGTCACTGTTCTGGACAAGGTTGCCATTGATGTACCATGAGCCGGGACTAGGGGTGGTGAGGTCCACAGTGAAAGTTGCATCTCTCCCTGGTGCAACTTCAACATTTCTCATAGGGGTTTTCACTGCCAGGGTAGGTTCTGTGGGATATAATGATGATGAGTAAAGATTAACATAATTTTTTCTCAATAGAAGAGAATATTTGTAGCTCGGGGTTTAACTGTGGGGTACTTGGTGCTTCTGAGGTTGATAGTTACCTTCCAGACTTTAGGTAACAGGAGGAGGAAAAGGGAGGAGGAGGAGGAGGAGGAGGAGGAGGAGGAGGAGGAGGAGGAGGAGGAGGAGGAGGAGGAATTTCTGATCATTGGAATTAATGGAGCACATTATTCATGTTCATGATACAAGATATTTGAGAATTTCAGGTATTGGTGGCTTAAAAAAATCTAAATCCATTCATCACCCCCAATTTAGTCCATTGCTGGGGCAAAAAAAACTTACCAAGATGCCAGACTCCAGGAAATTCCAGATAATCACTTTGGCCATATTTGTTGACTGCAGAAACTCGGAATTGGTAGTCAGCCTCTTCAGTCATGTTGTTGACCGTGAACTCAGTTTGGGACACCAGAGCTTGGTGGCACCTCAGCCATGTGAATCCTGTCAGCTTCTTACGTTCAATAAGGTAGCCATCAATCGGGATAGGCCGGTCCGTCTTCTGAAGAGACCAAGCTAACGTCACTGAGGTTTCTGTTTTGTTTTTCACCACTGGGTCAGCTGGAGGATGTGATGGGGGCTTCTTTGGAGCTGGTCATAAGGAGAAGGGGGAAAGACCAAGTCAACATTTGGGAAGAAACCACAGATTTTTTTAAACATGCGAATATAAAGGTAGTTCAAAGGTTGTGTAAGCACCATCATTTCCCCATCATATATTACTTTGGGGGAATCCTTAGTGCTCTCTGAGCTGGGTGGTTTTCTTGCAGATGTTTCATGACCTAATTAGGTACCAATTCAGGGATGGGATTCTACACTGAACTGGCTGTTATGATTCTGCGCAGTTCAGAGAACCAGCAAATCGTGTCCCTGGCTGGCCCCGCCCTGACATTGCACACATGCGCAACATCGTTGTGACTGCATTCTCCCCCACCCACCCTGCCCAGTCACTCCTTACAGTATTTTTTTTCCTCCCGACGATCAGCTGTTCCGACATTCAGCTGTGCCAGGATCCCCCTCACTGTCTTACTGCTTCACCCAGGAGGCTTCTCTGAGGCCCAGGAGGCAAAAAGGAGCACGTGGATGGGTGCTGTGAGGCCCCCCACACACCCCATTTTTTGCCTCCTGGGCCTCAGGGAAGCCTCCTGGGAGCAAAAATGGCCTCCCCAGAGGCTTCCCTGAGACCCAAGAGGCAAAAAAATAATAATAATGGAGTGCCGTGTGGGGGCTGCAAAAAAGAAGAAGCCACGCCCACCCAGTCACATGGTCACACCACCGGTTCTCTGGTATGGCTAGGTGGTAGTGGCCACCTAGCCATACCAGAGAACCGGTAATAAAAATATTTGCATTCCACCCCTGGGTAGCATCATCAGTTCTAGAAGGAAGTAGGGTTTGTGGAGAGGAGGAGGAGGACGACGACGACGACAAGGACTGTGGGGTCCTTGGTCCTCTCTGAACTTGGTTGTTTTCCTGCAGACAATTCATGACTCAGCTAGGTAACATTATCAGTGCTAGACAGAATATGTAATCGTGTTATCACAGGGATGCTGCAATAGTCATAAGAATGATAACTGGTCACTTTTGATAGTGCTGTTGTACGTTTGAATAGTCACTGAATGAATTGTTATAAGTCAAGAACTACCTGTACTTGCAGCCTTGCAAGATGTTATTCAGGTAGCCTTACAGTAAAGTAGAATTAGCTCGTCTAGTTGTGTTTCCTATTGTTGGATGTGAAAGACCAGGTCTTCATGTGAAAGTCCAATTAAACTGACTGATTCCTAATCATGCCAATTTGCAGGTAATCCTCAATTTATAATCGTTCATTTAGTTACAATGGCACCCAAAAAAGTGACATGGCCACTTTTCACAATTACAACTGTTACAGGATCCCTATGGTCATGTGATCAAAATTCAGGCGCTTAGCAACTGACTCATATTTATGACCGTTGCAGTGTCCCGAGGTCACACGATCAACTTTTGTAATCTTCAGTTAATGGAGAAACTAGATTCACTTCACAACTTTGTTACAAACTTACTGCAGTGATTCACTTAACAACTGTGGCAAGAAAAATCATAAAATTTGCCAAAACTCACTTACAAACGTCTCATTTAGCAACAGAAAATTTGGGCTCAATCATAGGTTGAGGACTACCTGTATAGAAGAACAACAAACCCTACAATAGTTCTACCAAATCTTGGGCTCCAATATTGACCCCTTCAGGAAACCTTAGTTTAAAATGTTATTAGGATCAGGTGGGGTCAATTATTCAGAGCAACAGCACATTTAATACATAAGAAACCCTAAGCATCAGATAAGCATCAATCAATCACTGCTAATTTCTTTCATGCAAGAAATGTGTTGTCATTTTCTACCTGTCCTTAAAATAATATACAGAGCAGTGGTATACAAGTAGTCCTCAACTTACGACAACAATTGATTCCAATATTTCTATCACTAAGTGAGACATTTATTCAGTGAGTTTTGTCCCATTTGATGACCTTTCTTGCCACAGTTGTTAAGCAAGACCATGCTGTTATTAAGTTAGTCACACAGTTGTTAAATTACTCTGACTTCCCCATTGACTTTCCTTGTCTGAAGGTTGCAAAAGGGGATCATATAATTCTGGAACACTGCGACTGTCATAAATATGAGTAAGTTGCCAAGTGCCTTAACTTTTATCACATGATCGTGGGAATTCTGCAATGGTTGTAAGTGTAAAAAACAGTCACCCTAACCCTAACCGTAATTCTAACCCTAACTTTGAACAATCACTAAATGAACTATTGTAAGTTGGGACTACCTGTATTCCTTAAAATGGGGCATGAATACACAAATGATCTGTCTAATCTAAGGGGTACACTACTGTAACTTCCTACACCTCAGCCTTTTTTGAAGCCACCTCTAGGTTTTTAGAATCATTGGGCTGAAAGGGACCTTGGAGGTCTTCTGGTCCAACCCCCTGCTAAAGGCAGGAATTTTATACTATCCTGGTCTGATAGTTATTCAGCTTATTTTTTGAAAACCTTCAGTGATGAAATACCCACAATTTTTGGAGACAAGCTGTTCCACTAATCAATTGTTCTAACTTCTTACTGTCAGGAAGTTCTAGGTTGGATCTCTCCTTGATTAGTTTCCACCTGTTACTTCTTATTTGGCCTCTGGTGTCTAGCTACGATACAGTATGGTGAGAAAAGGTTATTTTTGCAAATGATGCAGTGATGCTTACTTCAATTATGTTCTCTATGTACAGTTTTCACATTCTTTCCTTGGTATGTGAAGTGTTAGCTTAACATGCAATGGCTAAGACAGCAGGTTGGGTAGCCAACTTCAGATGGTGAATTAAAGAAATTAAATTAATGAGATTTTTCCAACAAAGTCATTTTCCAGTACGGCAATCAGGCTGTGAGACTCAGAAACTGGTCTGCACTATGATTTCTGAATTTGATCTGGTTACAGGTAGTCCTCAACTTATGACCACAATGGAGGCCAGAATTTCCATTGTTAAGTAAGGTGTTTGTTAAATGAGTCACATCCGATTTCACTACCTTTTTGGCCATGGTTGTTAATTGAATCGCTGCAATTATTAAGTTGTACAGATAGTCCTCAACTTACAACAGTTCATTTAGTGATTGGACTTACAACAGCACTGAAATAAGTGACTTATGACTGTTTTTCACACTCATGACCATTGCAACATCCCTGAAGTCACATGATCAAAATTCAGATGCTTGGCAACTGACCCATATTTATTATAGTTCCAGTGTCCCGGGGTCATGTGATCACATTTTATGACCTCCTGACAAGTGAAGTCACTGGGGAAGCCAGACTCATTTAGCAATCAGGTCACTAACTGAACCACTGTAGTGATTTACTTAACAACTGTGGCAATAAAGGTAATAAAATGAGGCAAAACTCACTTAACAACTGTCTTGCTTAGCAACATAAATTTTGGGCTCCATTGTGGTCATAGGTTGAGGACTTCTGATATATCATAGTATTATATCTTATTTTAAGGCTAGATAGTAAGTGATGGCATGTTTCCTGAGTGCAAGAAATCAGTGGCAATTGACTGTGTTCTGTGTTCTGCTTAGGATTTTCAAGCATGTTCTGGGGATCAAATTGGGTCAAATGACTTTATCACTACAGGGCTGATGACTTGGGTTTCTCTCATGGTTTGGCTGTGCTACTGATCTGGATAATTGACCCCGCCTGATCCTAAGAACCTTTTAAACCAGGTTTTTGGTTTAAGGGATCAATCTTGCCTCCCAAGATTTGATGGACTATCATAGGCTTCATTGTTCTTCTATACAGGTACTCAAGACCACAAATGAGGCCAGAATTTCCATGGGACAAAACTGTATCTAGCTATCCCTCCCTTCCTCCCTCCCTCTATTTCTCGCTCACTCGCTATCTAGCTAATCTATCATCTATTATCGATGTACATGTCTATCTGTCTGTCTGTCTGTCTATCTGTCTATCTGTACAATGCATTCAGAAAGTATTCAGACTCCCTTCACTTTCATTATGCAGCCTGATTCTACAGTTGTTAAAATTCATTTTTTCTCATTAATCTACCATCAGTATCCCAGAATGACAAAATGAAAACAGGATTTTAGAAATGTATGTACATTTCAACAGCTGTAGAATCAGGCTGCAGCATAACAAAATTGACAAAAGTGAAGGGAGCCTGAATACTTTCTGAATGCACCTGTATATCTGTCAACTAGTATCTATCTGTCTATCTTTCTAACTACCTTTCTACCTACCTACCTACCTACCTACCTATCTCTATGTACCATCTACCTCTCATCTATCTATCTATAAACAAAACTCAGTTGTGGTCGTAAGTCAAGGACTACCTGTATTTGCACGCCTTTAAGCATCCAAGATCTTCAGAAGAATTTATAAGTAATAAATATGGAGAAACAAACTCCTCACATACATGGGGGGAGGGAAATCACTCTCACCAGAGACAGTAAATTGTGTGGATGTTCTACATTCATCAGCCACAAAGACAATTTCTCCTCCATCTTCCATTTGACAATCCCGGATGATCATGGTGTATTCCCTGTCTGTGGAGGAGATTGAAATGCGACTGCTGGGTTTTAATTCTTCCTTATTCTTCAACCATCGGAACTTCTCGCACTTCTGTTCCAGTTCCACCGAAAACACTGCAGTGTCTTTTATGCTGACAGCTGTCTTCCTTGGCAGTTTCTTGACAATGTTGCCTGTCGATAAATAAAGATGTGATCATTAGTTTTAGTCAACTCACATTAAAAGCTCCATGCTTAGAAACACTATGTTTAGATAGGGGGAGGTATATAGAGATATACTGTAGATGGATAGGAAGGGAGATAGACACAGATAGATAATTAAACAGAGCAATAGATATGTGAAAGGCCAGAGAGGAAGGTGTGTGTGTGTGTGTGTGTGTGTGTGTGTGAGAGAGAGAGAGAGAGAGAGAGAGAGAGACAGAGACAGAGACAGAGACAGAGACAGAGACAGAGACAGAGACAGAGACAGAGA